TCCTTTCCTATCCCATTCCATCCCATTCCATCCCATTCCATCCAATCTCGTCAAAATTCCATCCGATCCTAACCTAACCAAACCTAACCTATTATATCCTATTCTATTCTACTCCCATTTTCCCCTTTTTAATTTGTTTCTTTTTCTTGATATAAATTAACTAATGATAATAACCCAATATATAATCAATATTTGATGTTCATTGATGATTTCATTGTTTTTATTTAGCTGATTCTTTACCTAATTTGAATGGTCGTAACAACACAACCCTGACAACAGTCAGCCTTTAAAACGACGAAGACAATCTACCGACTTTAACGTGAATCTGACCAATGACAACCACGAACCTTGGAAACTTCTACCAGCACAACGAACGAATCAAAATCATCAATTACGAGCAACTGTAGTCGTAAGTTTAAACAAAGAGGAGGCGCATCACACACGCGATGTGTTTATTGAATACTCTGTCATTTTATCAATAAATATACTTTACTTTATAGATTTTGAATTTAACAATTAAATTGCTTTAAATGCCATAAGGAAAAGAAGGACACTCGAAAATGTAAATTCTAGCAATATTCTTAAATGTGCACATACGAATACATTGAAACCTATAATGTGCAATTTGGTGATTGCAGCCACTTTTAAATGAAAAGATATGAACGACGTAAATGCTTGAAAAAAAATCTATCACCTCAGGATTTGCCGAATAAGTTTCAATGAAAACGGTTTGCACTTAAAAAAGGCCGTTACACTGCAAGTCCGACGTTCATTAGTGTCCGCTGAAAAAGACGATACAATTTGACTGCAAGTTGGATGTCAAAGGTGCTTTGAAAAATGTCCTCAAATTCCGTACCCTACTGAAACAATTGGTTTAAATTAGCATATTGACACATCACAACCCCTTATATCTCTTTGATCCCTACTTCCAATATTGTCACCCTGATGCTTCATACTCGCAGTATAACGAGCTCTCAATAAATTTAGTTATAAATCAAATGCTAAGCATTAGAAGTCGTTAAATGCACGTTAAAAACATAATCAATAATTAATCAATACAGTGATAATATCACTTAAAACATATAACGAACTTAGAATTTTATTACTAATAGACAATAATAAGCCTTAAAAGGATATAAATAATAGTATGATTATTTTACTGTATTGATGTAATACACTAAACAAAACA